TCACAATTTCTGAGACCCATCAGGATGTTTACTGCTATTTAAAATGCTATTTAAAAATGTTGTCTTTAGGGACAAAGCTCAGTAATTACTGACAAGGAATTATTAGTGTTTTAAACATCATTATTAAGAAACTTCAAAACGTAGGAAATAGAATCAGTAAAGGAAAACTTCACAGAGATAAGCCATGAAAGAAAATAAACTTTGATAGGTACAGGTTAAGAGCAAAAGTATTCCAAGTGAAATAGCTAACAGGAAGCCCAGATACTTAGAAAAACAAAACACATGGATGGCAATAAAGACAAGTCTAACATGATTTTGATGCTATCAAGAAATTATTGTAAACATTTTTAGACATGATTAATTTTCGTTAGAGTATTTGTCTTTTGGAGGGAACTACTAAAACATTTAGAGATGATAACAGAATACCTGGAAATTGTTACAGAATAAAGCACAGTATATGCGTTGGGGTAATAGTAGTTCAAACAAAAATGGACATGAGTTGGTGTTAATGCTGCATAAGAGCTAGATGGGATTCCTTATTATCCTCTCTTCTTCTGTATTTGTTTCATTAAAAAGAAGCTAAAAGAAAGAAGGGGGGGGAGGGGGAGACCAGTCTGACTAGAAGGAACCTAATCAGAGTAAAGCAGAGCAAGCACCTAAAGGATGAATTATAGTTAAAAGTCTGTAAGCCACAAATCATATAGCTGGTAAGTGACTACTATCCTGAATATAAAAAGAATTCTCACAACTCAGTAATAAAAAGACAACCCAACTTAAAAAATGGGCAAAGGATTTGAATAGACATTTCTCTGAAGAAGACATACAAATGGGCAATAAGCACCTACCCATGAAAAGATGGCTCAACATCATTAGCAAAATGCACATGCAAATCAAAACCATGAGATACCACTTGACATCCACTAAGATGGCTGTGATTTAAAAAGTCAGAAAATAAAGTGTTGGTGACAATGTAGAAAAACTGGACCTCTTCCATACATTGCTGGTGGGAATGTAAAATGGAAACCTCAAAAAACACACAGGCGGGGCACCTGGGTTGCTCAGTTAGTTAAACAAGTATGTGCCTTTGGCTCAGGTCATGATCCCAGGGTCCTGGGACTGAGCCTCCTGTTGGAGGCTGAGCAGAGAGTATTTCCCTCTGCCCCTCCCCCTGGCTCATGCTCTCTCACACATGCTCTAATAAATAAATAAAACATTTTTTTGAAAAAAACCACACTGGCAATTATTCAAAAAGTTAGTTATCATGTGATTCAGCAATTTCACTCCTACCCACAGAAATGAAAATGTATGTCCATGCTAAAACTTGTCCAAGAGTGTTCACAGCAGCATTATCAAAATAGCCAACTGAAAAAACTGAAGGACTGATACATCCTACAAAATGGGTGAACCTGAAAACATGCCAAGTGAAAAAAGCTAGACACAAAAGACTGCATGTTATATGAGTCTAATTATATGCAATGTCCAGAACAGGAAAATCCACAGGGACACAATGTGGTGTCTGCAGGGTGGGCTGCAGGGCAGTGGGAGGGTTGGGAGGGAATGGGGAATAATGCTAGTAAGTCTGGGGTGATAAAAATGGTCTAAATTTAGATCACGATGATAGCTGCACAACTATGTAAACCTACTAAAACCACTGAATTGTACACTCTAAAAAAGTGAATTTTGTGTCCATAAACGTGTTTTAGAAATCTATAAGGTGTTCTATGGAGTGTGCCCCAACACAAAATAGAGCACATTGAATCTCTAATAGCATGGTGACGATGAGTAGGGATTTCAAGAAAGAATTTAAGGAACAAAGAAGTGTGAGGAACATCAGTATTAATTTTGGTAATCTGGAAAAGAATGGTATCAATGACAATAATTGGCATAACTGCAAACTGTTAATTGACTCTTAAGTACAGGTAAAAGTTCTGGTAGATCTGAAACCAAAAATATATGTATCATTTATTACTTTAGCATCCCCTAAGTCTAGCTGATCACTGGAACCACTTTAGCTTTAAGAATGGCTATTCTGGGGGCACCTCGTGGCTCATTTGGTTAAGCGTCCACCTTCACCTCAGGTCATGATCCCAGTGTCTTGGGGTCAAGTCCCAGGTCGGGCTCTCTCCTCAGTGGGGGGCCTGCTTCTCCCTCTGTCTACTGCCCCCTCGCTTGTGCTAAGAAAGAAAAGAAAAGAAAAAAAGAAAAGAAAAGAGAAAAAAGAAAAGGAAAGAAAAAAAAAGAGAAAAAGCTTCTGGTTGCAACCCAAAAAAAGTCTGATTCACCAAGTCTAGAGCAAACCACTGCATGAACGTTTGGCACGTTATATACTATCAGCTTATTTTTGTTTCACTGTGTGAGTTTTATTGCCCCTAAAATATAAAATCACATACTTTTCTATTTCCTACAGTAGCTATTAGACATAAAGCAGACGTTAAAAATTGCAGGCCACTTTAAAGCCCATAGTTGATACCTAACTTCAGCTGAAATGCAACCGGTTATATATAATCCACATATCTGAGAAAACATTTTTTGTCCTATCTTTGCGTCCTTACCTGCTCGGAAATCCAGAAATGCAAAGGCTTTTTGTATTCATGTTACCGTAGGAGTCTTACCTAATGATGACATGTTCTTAGGGAATGGCTAATATAGTTGAGTTTACTGCTCCAGAAATCTGATTCTTACCAATCTCTTCTCAAATTTGGACAAACGTAGAAAGCCCTGGTATATTAAATCTGTCCCACTACTAAGATCCAGACCCTGGTTCTCCACCAGTATCACCTCTTGTGCTACTGAGAAAATGAACAGGTATCACCAGGACTAATCCAAGCGAACCCATACCTTTGTGCCTCTTGCTCTTCTTCTTTCTGGAGACGGTTCTCTCATGGATACTCTCTTCCTGGGCATCCATCTCGTCACTGCTGTCAATGACGTCACAGGGCTCACCAACCCCAGAGAGCGCTTCCACTGCAGGAACCTGGGAGGCTTCCAAGCCACAGAGAGATTTTACTAGAAGAAGAAAATAAGGGAAGAATGAAATGGCAGAGTCCCATCCAGAAACACAAATGACTCAGACAGGACATCAACACCCATGAGAATAAGGAAGGGGGGAATAGTGTGAGAGGGTCGGCTGAAGGAAGGTGAGAACCAAAGAGAAATGTTAGCATTTTACCTTTTTTTTTTTTTTTTTAAGATTTTATTTATTTTTTCATGTGAGACACACAGAGAGAGGCAGAGACACAGACAGAGAGAGAAGCAGGCTCCATGCAGGGAGCCCAACGTGGGACTCCATCCCAGGTCTCCAGGGTCACACCCTGGCCCAAAGGTGGCGCTAAACCGCTGGGCCACCTGGTGCCTAAAAACGCATAGCACCTATGTTAGCGTTTTAAATACAGAAAACTGGAAAGCAATGGGCAAATTCCCACATATACAAATATCTGTACAATGTTCGTACAAACACAAAACTGACTCCTAGGGAGGGCGTTATTCTCCGACTACAAACCCTGTAGCATAAGAACAAAAAGTGAATACTACTCTCATTTGCACAAATTCTGAGGAGCAATGTTGGAGAGCAAGGGGATCCAGCTGGACCCTGCTCCCAGGTGGAGACAGTAGGCGCCCTAAAGGTACAAGCCTCGGGGACCTGGCCTGTGAGTAACAGGCTTGAAAGTAAGAGAAGCCGGAGAGGAGAAGCATCCTTCAGGGTCATCACACAGAGAAGCAAACAACAGGGGAATACATGTGAACCACAGGGGGCAAGGTGAATAACCGAGAAGCAAGCAGTGGAAACCACAAAGAAAAAAAAAAAGTATGCAAAGGTTTTTTTTTTTTTTTAAATGCAGAGACAGAAATAAGGTATTTCTGCTACAGAATAAAATGTCCCTGGTCTTGGCGAATCCTCCGTTTCACCCGCTCCGAACACAGCGGGATCGCGGAAGGTGTGCAGGGGCTCTCGCAAGGGAAACACCGAGGCGGAGCCCCACGCCGCCGGGCCTACCTTCCTGCTGCACCGCATTGGCGACGGCCTTCTTGACCCGTCCAGACCTCACGACCGCCGGGTCCGAGTTGGCATAATCCGCCACCGTCACTGAAAGACAGCAGCCACCTCAGGGGCGGCCTGGGCCCGTGCTCCCCGCCGCCCGCAGCAGCCCGAGCTCCCCGCCCCGCCGCCCGCAGCCCGAGCTCCCCGCCCCGCCGCCCGCAGCCCGAGCTCCCGCCCCGCGCCCGAGCCCGCCCGCAGCCCGAGCTCCCCGCCCCGCCGCTCCCGCCCCGCCGCCCCAGCGCCTCCCGTTACGCGCCGCCCGGCGCTCGCCCCGCCCCCGCCCGCTCGCCCACCTCGTCCGGAGCAGGCGTCGTGGGCCCGGAACTTGAGTCGCTTCCCCCTCTTGGGCATGGCGACCGCGTCGGGGCGAGGCCGGCCTAGCGGGCCGGGCCCCCGGGCCATGTCTTGGGCCGGAGAGCCGGCTCCGGGAGCCGCGCGCCAGCTCCGCCCGGCTCAGCGGCCATCCCGCCCCGGAGGCCGCGGCTCTCGCGAGGCTGGGGCCGGGGCTCTGCGTCGCGTGGGCGGCCGACGCCCCAGGCGGGAGCCAATCCGCGCCTGGCTTCGGAGTACGTCATCACCCGGCGCCCGCGGGTCCACGCCTGGCTGCGGAGCACGTCATCACCCGGCGCCTGCGTGCCTCCTCCGCCCGCGGCCTGTGCGGGGCGTCTCCGGTCGGGGACGGGCTCACACCGCGGCCTCCGGGGTCGCCCGGGCGTCCGCACGCCGGGCCCTCGCGCCGGCGGCCCCGCGGGGCTCCGCGAGCATCCCCGTTTCTCCTGCGGAGGCCGCGGCGGCCCGACGCGCCTGCGAGCGAGGTACTGGGAGCCTCGACGGGGAAAGGGGCGGCCTTCCCTTGGCCCGGGGAGCGGAGGGAGGCTCCGCCGTGGTGTGCGGCCGGCGGCTCGCCCGCGTGGGGGACCCCCGTGGGGGGGAGGGGCGGGGTGGGGTGGGGGGAGGGGAGAGGTGGGGAAGGCCGGGGCAGCCCGGCGGGGCGGCTCCTACCCGCGGGCTGTCCACTGAGAGAAACGGTGGGGGATCCCGGGGGCGCAGCGTTTGGCGCCGCCTGCAGCCCAGGGCGCGATCCTGGAGACCCGGGATCGAGTCCCGCGTCGGGCTCCCGGTGCATGGAGCCTGCTTCTCCCTCTGCCTGTGTCTCTGCCTCTCTCCCTCTCTCTGTGTGTGACTATCATAAATTTAAAAAAAAGAAAAGAAAACGCCGCCTCTGTTGCAAACTTAACGGTTTGAACTGAAATGTTCTCATTTTCAGTGGTATACACTATTTTGTGTTTTTTTAAGATTTTATTTATTCATTCATGAGATGCAGGGAGAGAGAGGCAGAGACACAGGCAGGAGGAGAAGCAGGCTCCATGCGGGGAGCCCGGCGTGGGACTCGATCCTGGGACCCCGGGGTCACGCCCTGGGCCCGGGCAGGTGCTCACCTGCTGAGCCCCCCAGATGCTCCTATGCTTCCAATTTAATGCATTGGAATGAAAGAAGTGCTAATACCAAAACTGCTAATTGCCCCCTTTCAAAATTTCAAGACTAAGAAGCAAGGGCGCCGAGACTGTTAAGTCCTTTGGTTTATGTATAGCATCTTAGTAGGTGAAAGGAGGAGAAAGGCACTCAGAGGAAAACAAATGACTTTTTGGAAGGATAAGTAGATTTTCAGGAGAACAAACAGGAAATAAAGTCTGTGATAATCATTTTCTGTGTTGGTACAAGTGGTCTTTTCATCTCCTTTAGGGCTGTAAGACTTTCCTAAATAAGGGATTTGAGGTAGGTTTTATTCTCATTCTTTTTCATTCCCGTTTTCATTCTATTTCATTCTCATGCCTCCTTCCGGAGTAGATCTGCCCTCGAGAAGAATTTATGGTAGTCTTATTTCCCAGAGGTGTTGCTTTTAGGCAGATACAGGAAGCTCTAAAAAGCTTTTCTTTTCTGTATCTCTTGAATCTCAGATGCCCTTAGCTTAAAATAATCTTTATACCAAAGTGGCATATTTGGGGGTGGCATGTTCTGTACCCTCAACCTTGAACAAATTACCTAATCTCACCAAAATTCAGTTTTCTTATCTATAAAATGGGCATAATAATAATGGTACTCAATAGAGTTGTGAAGATTAAATAAGATAATATATGGAAATATGAAATATAATAACCACTTAATGAACATTAGTTGTCATTATTTGCTACGCTTACAACTAGAAGCTTATTGGTTTGAATATGTAATTCTCCACCTTGGTTGCACAATAGACTCCCTGGTGGGATTTCAAAAAGTACCAGTGACCTAACCCCTCACCCAAAGGTTCTTATTTCAGTAAGCTGAGGTAGGACCTGGGCATTCACATTTTTTAAAAAAGATTCCCAGATGAATTTAATGTTCAGCTCAAATGTTGAGGTTTAGATCAAAAGTGAACAAACTAGTGGTTATAGGACAAATCTGTTCCCTATCTATATTTGAAAATAAAGTTTTAACGGTACGTCATCACACCTATTTGTTTATTATCTGTGGCTACTTTCACTCAAATCTAAAATATTTACCGTTTACAAGAAGTTTGCCAACCCCTAGTTTATTTTTTTTCCACCCCTAGTTTAGAATGAAGCTGCTGGACAGCCTATACCACATGGGGGCAATATAGCTTCATTCAGGATCATGATTTTAGGGACTAATAAAACTTGAAAATTGACTGCTAAACTAAATATATCAGGAATTAAAAAATGAATATAATTTTCTTATCTATAAGCTCTTTTCTCTAGTTTCCAGTCATGCACAAGTCTGTTCTGTATTGAAAACATCTATGTCTCAAGTGTCTCAGCCAGTGGAGCATACGACTCTTGATTTCTGCATTGTGAGTTCGAGCCTTGTGTTGGGTGCGGAGATTGCTTAAAAATAAAATCTTAAAAAAAAAAAAAAAAAACCAACCTGAGGTGCCTGGGTGGTTCAGTCAGTTAAGCATCTGCCTTCAGCTCAGGTCATGATTCCAGGGTCCTGGGATGGAGCCCCACTCTGGGCTCCCAGCTCAGCAGGGGGCTGCTTCTCCCTCTGCCTCTGATGTCTCTGGCTCTTGCTCTCAAATAAGTAAATAAATTTTTTTAAAAAAATTATGCCAAACATTGATCCCTCCTCTATCATTCACGACTAATAAATACAGCTTTACCCATGGCCTTTGTTGCTTTAGCACCTAGTCATTTCTGGTGTCTTTGAACTCTGGCTTCAAAGCTCATTTGTTCACTGAGGAGTTACTCTCCAGGATCACCAATGATCTCCTAATTGTATTTTCTGAGTTCTCCTTCTTGTATTTCTATGGAGATCCCATCCTTCTTGAAACCCTCCACTCCCTGGCATTTCACATCCTTAGTTCTCTTGCTATCTGGTCACCCTCACAGTGAAGAAGCTCTTTGTTCTTCCTTAACCTGTATTCTCTTCATATGCTCTGTTTAGGGTGAGTATCACTCCAAGTAGGTGCACTGCCTTGCCTCTGTAAATTATTAGCCCTACAAAGTTTAGGAATCAGGTTACTAACTTACAAGTGGCGGCCATGGTATGAAATGGAACTGCATTGCTACCTGTAAACACGATACCTGCAACTTATAATTAGCTCAGAGCTCTGAGAATTACATTAAAAAATTCCTAAAGCCACCTCAACCTATAGCTGCTGCCTAACCACTGTCACCATACCGGAAGGTATTACTACTAGACTCCCACTCAGGAATTCTTTCTTTCCGCATCCGATATGGATGGAACACTGTTCCTCACATACAAAAGTATCTTAATAGGTCATATTTTTTTTTGTCTTGTACTTGGCAGGATAAGTGGAGCCAAACAACCAGACTGGTATTTGGTGGCCCCACCCACCGTAAATGACTAAGAGTGTCATCCACAGATTGAGGACAAAGGAAGGAGGGAGGGAGGGTTGGTTACTTATTAAGCCAACTAATTGTTTCTTCCTTCCAGTGGTAAAGTAAATGACTGTTCTTCTAGGCCCCTGTCCGGGAAAGCTTGCACTAGAACAAAGTCCAAGCTATTGAGAACCACAGGTTTAGATCAGGCTCGGCATAAGTAGATGGGAAATAGAGATTAAAACCACACAAAGCTTAAAATGGCAAGCTCTATCTCAGTGAATGCTAAGATAAACGAGGCTACGTGAAAGGACTTTGAGGACCAAGTCTTGGCCACATGGGAAGAGCTGACAGCTCCAACTGTTGGGAGAAGGTTGAAATGTGGGAAAATGTTGAAATGCTGGCCACATTTCCCCCCGATCCTCAGACTAACTCAAACCGACAACCACATTATTACCTAAAATACTTAAGCCTTCACTTTACCTCACACATCAGTTTCATGCTCTGCAAGTCAAAAACAACCTTCCCATCATGTCGTGTTATCAAAGCCGAGATAAATAAATCACCTACCAGGAGATGATTCTTAACTTGAAGTAAATGAAGCTGATCCAGACATCTTACATATGACTGACGGGATACACCTGGTTCTAAGGGACTGCTTTCCCGTCAAGTGGATTAGGTTTGTATCAGTCCACTTACCTGGCAAAGAATGAAGCAAACTCCCCCAGAAACACAGCACAGGAGATGAAGATGAAGATGGTATTTCTTAGGTTTCTGACTCAAACTAGGTTTTCTGTGTTCTTATTACAATTACTTGTGAGGTCCAGGTGCATTCCTTTCCTTGTTTTCATGAGACATGTCTGAGATCTTAAGCAACTTTGAGTTGTTTTTCTCTGTTTGTAACTGAAGAATCCTGATTGCTTTGCTCCCTAACCTACCTGTACCAACTTGCAGTGCAGATTCAGCAAGCCACTGGTTCCCCCTGGGGGAGGGAGGGCAGCACATTGTGTGAACAGGAAAAACACCCCAGCATTAAGATTGCTACAGCCTCAACAGGATCACTCAACAGGATGGCAGACAAACAGATCATCAGCATTCTGGGCCATCTCCATAGACGTTAGATTTTAATGAATTTTCATCTTTTGGCATCATCCGAAGCATATGTTGGGCTCTTCTGGCAGATGACCTTGTATTCTTCCTAGGACTAATGAAAGGATTTCTCATAATCTTATAAAATAGTCGTCATCTGTTCAGATGACATCTTGACTTACATGCCTATTTTTAAAGATATTATGTATTTATTCATGAGAGGCAGAGGGAGAAGCAGGCTCCATGCAGGGAGCCCGATGCGGGACTTGACCCCAGGATCCCAGGGTCATGCCCTGAGCCAGAGGTAGCAGCTCAACCGCTGAACCACCCGGGCATCCCTCATATGCTCCTTTAACCTTTCATGATTCCCTGCTCTTGGCCACAACACCTCTGAGATAACCTTGAGAAATTTATAGTTGAAGGTCCAAAGGGAGAGGTCTTGAACAACATTCTGTCCTCCCAAGATGTCTATATGAAGCCAGATGAGTTAAACGTTTTTTTTTAATCTTTTTTTTAAATTTTTATTTATTTATGATAGTCACACAGAGAGAGAGAGGCAGAGACATAGACAGGGGGAGAAGCAGGCTCCATGCACCGGGAGCCCAACGTGGGATTCGATCCCGGGTCTCCAGGATCGTGCCCTGGGCCAAAGGCAAGCGCTAAACCGCTGCGCCACCCAGGGATCCCGAAGCCAGATGAGTTATCAGAGCTCCTGGAGTAGCAAGCCTCTGGATAATCGAGGCTATCTAATAATCTCCAGAGAATATTGGATAAGAACAACAGTTCACCTGTTCTTTGCTTACAGAACCCAAAGACCAATGGACAAGAAGGAAAGGATTTATCTGGTATTTGGCTGTAGCAAGCACTGTCTCACTTATTTGCTCCAATCTTGATCTAATTTGACCTAGCTTAGCCCCCACAAAATAGCTCCAACACCAGGTAGAGTCATAAAATATCTCTGGGGGTACCTGGGTGGTTCAGTCAATTGGGCATCTTCCTTCGGCTTGGGTCATGATCCCAGCATCCTGGGATCAAGGCCCACATTGGGCTCCCTGCTCAACAAGGACCCTGCCTCTCCCCCTCCCTCAGCCTCTGCCCCTGCTTGTGCCCTCTCACTCTCAAATAAATAAAATCTATAAAAAATAAAAATGAAATGATTTCTGGTCCTGCTTCAGTATATTTGTGCCCAAGGCCAGAACCACGGGCCTTATCTCGGTAGAATACAAGAAGCCATCAGAAGTAACCCCACTAAAAAATAACCCTGTCTGTTGCTTATTTTTATATATTTTGGTGATTTTTTTTTTTAGTTTTAATTTATAATTAGGTCTCTTTCATAGCTACTCAATCCTAATTAATATCTGCCTCTTTTGTTTTATAACCTTTTATTCTAGCTTTCAGGATAGCATTCTTTTATTTATCTCTTTAAGGATCTTAAATATAGGGCAGCCCCGGTGGCGCAGCAGTTTAGCGCCGCCTGCAGCCCAGGGCGTGATCCTGGAGACCCTGGATCAAGTCCCACATCAGGCTCTCCCTATAATGCCTGCTTCTCCCTCTGCCTGTGTCTCTGCCCACCCCCCGTCTCTATGAATAAATAAATAATCTTAAATTTTAAAAAAAGGATCTTAAATATACTCAAAAAGCCCTCTTTTGAGGGGATTCCTGGGTGGCTCTGCCTACGGTTTAGCGACTGCCTTCAGCCCAGGGCGTGATCCTGGAGTCCCTGGATGGAGACCCATATCGGGCTCCCTGCATGGAGCCTGCTTCGCCCTCTGCCTGTGTCTCAACCTCTCTCTCTCTCTCTCTGTGTCTCTCATGAATAAAAAAATAAAATATTTAAAAAAATAATAAACCCCTCTTTTGATCCACTGCGCAATTGTTTACCTTTTCTCCGGAGTGCTTCTATTCATTGGGTTTGTTGACTTTGATCACGTGCTTTGTACTTTGAGTCTGCACACTCATCTGAGGTAATTTCCCTTTTTTTCTTTCAAACATTAGTGTTTCTAACTAAATGTCTGGGTGCCACAGCCTGGTCAATTTGATATGTAAAATTAATCATTACCCCCAATGATAAGACTTAGTGTAGAGTTACAGTAATCAAGATAGCGTGACATTGGCAAAGGAATAGACACAACAATCAATGAAGCTGAAGAGAATGTCCCTAAATAGTCTCACACAAATGTGGCCAATAGGTTTTTGACACATGCAAAAGCAATTTCAATGGAAAAAATCTTGTTAACAAAGGTAAAACAACGTCAGTATGGAAAAAATAAGCCTTGATCTAAACCATATTTTATATAAAAAACTCAAAAAGTATCATATATAAATATAGGATGTAAACTATAAATTACTTGGAAGAAAACATGGGAGGAAGCCTTTGAGACCTGGGGGTAGGCCAAGAGTTCTTAAATATGACACCAAAACCACAATCCACAAAAACAAAGATTGATTCATTGGTCTCCAATTTGGTTTTCAAAATGAGAAATTTTGCTCTGCAAAAGGCACTGTTAAAACAATGAAAAGACAAGCTATATGTAGATTGGGGAGAAATATTTGCAAATCATATCTGATAAAGGACTTGAATGAAGTCCTTTAAAGAATTCTGAAGGCATAACAGAAATAATACAACTTAAATTTTTAAATGGGTTAGACACTTCAACAAAAAGGATATACAGATGGCAAGTAAGCACGTGAAAATGTGTTCAAAAGATGCCATTAGAGAAGTTTAAAGTTAAATCATAATGAGATACAATTACACAACTTAGAATACTGACAATACCAAGTGCTGACAAGGATGCAGGACAGCTGGAACTTTCATACATTCCTAGTAGGGATGCAAAACAGTACAATTTAGCCTCAATTTAGCAGTTGCTTATAAACCTAATCTACCAGTTTCTTATAAACTTAAATATACACTTACTATATTATTCAGAAATCATACTCCAGGGTATTTACCCAGAAGATACTAAAATATATGTTCACACACAAACGTACACAAATGCTTCTAGCAGCTCTATTCATAATTGCCAAAAGCTGGAAACAATCTAGATGATTTTAAACAGCTGAGTGGATAAACAAACTGTGATAACCCATAAACTAGAATATTAGTGATAAAAAAGGAATAACTTGTTCCACGTGCAAAAACGTGGGTGAATCTCAAAGGCATTACACTGAATGAAAGAAGCAGTCTTGAGAAGTTAAGATAGTATATGATTCCTTTTCTGTGGAATTCTCAAAAAAAAAAAAAATACAGTGATGGAGAACAAACAGCAAGAGGTTGCCAGGGGTTAGAAGGAGGGGAAGTTATGATGAGGGGACACCACAAAAGAATTTTAGTGGGGTGATAGGACTGTTCTGTATGTTGATTATGGTGGTTGTTACATGAATCCATGCATGTGTTAACATTTCTAAAACTGCACACCAAAAACGTCTCACATAGGTGAGGGTGGAGCTCTTCACTCACTCTACTATATCAAATGCAAATCTCTCCAGAAACATCTTCACAGATAACACTCATATATAATGTTTTACCAGCCATCTGGGCATTCCTTAGCCCAGTCAAATTGACTGGGTAATTCTGGCTTAATAGAATGAGTCAGCAAGGGCTCCCTTCTCTTCAATCTTTTGAAAGAGTTTGAGAAGGATTGATGTTAGACCTTCTTTAAATATTTGTTAGAATTCACCAGTGAAGGCATCAGATACAGGGCTACTCTTTGTCAGGAGATTTTTGATTACTGATTCAATCTTACTAGTATACTCTATTCATATTTTCTCTTTCTTTTGACAGGCTCTTCTCTTGGGCCTAATTCAGTCTTGGCAAGTTTTGTGTTTCCAGAAATTTTCCTCCCAATTTCAAAGTTCTAAAAGAATAATGAGACTTATTTTACTAGCTATAAATATATCACTAAAATACCTACTGAATAACCATTCTCCTATATGCCTAATAACAGACATAAGGAATTGATATTTGGTATGTAGTATGAGTTAGAGATCATCATCCTTTTTCCAAATGGGTATGCAGCAGCATTTGCTCAAAAAGATCATATTTCCCCCCAATGTACTATAGTATCATCTCTCGTAAATCAGGCGACTATATATGCATATATCCATTGCTGGACTTTCTACTGTGTTCTATTGATCTACTTATCTTTATGCTGGTACCACGCTGACTTAACTACTTTAGCCTTATAACAAATCTTCATGACTAGTAGTGAAGTTATTTAACTTTTCAAGATTGGCTATTCTTGACACTGCATATTCCTATCACTTTTAGAGTCAGATTGTCAATATCCACCCCAAAAAATTGCATTGAGGGATGCCTGGGTGGCTCAGTCAGCTCAGGTCATGATCCCAGGATCCTGGGATAGAGTCCTGTGTTGGGCTCCCTGCTGAGTGAGGAGGCTGCTTCTCCCTGTGCCCCTCCCCAACTCATGCTCTTGCCCTCTCCTGCATGCTCTCTGTCTCTCTCAAATAAATACATGAAATCTTTTTTTAAATTGCCTGGAATTTTTATTATTGCAAGAATCTATAGATCTATTATACAGAATTTAAATCTTTATAGTATTTAATTTTCTAATACATGAATATATTATATTCCTCTATTTCTCTTTTAATTTTTTACAATGTTTTATAATCTTCCATTGCCTTTTTTAAGTTTTATTTATTTAAGTAATCTCTATACCCAACATGGGATTTGAACTGACAACCCCAAGATCAAGAGCCCCTGTACTCTTCTATTTAAAGGACTTTTGTTACAGAGTACCTGGCTAGCTCAATCATTAGAGCATATGACTCTTGATCTGAGGGTCTTGAGTTCAAGTGCCACATTAGGCATAGAGCTTATATTTAAAAAAAAAAAAAAAGAATGCTCTTTTTAGAGGCATCTGGCTGGCTCAGTTGGAAGAGCATGCAACTCTTGATCATGGGATTATGGGTTCAAGCCTCATGTTGAATGTAGAGATTACAAAAAAACACAAACTTATAAATAAATAAAAAGCTTTTGTTAGATTTGCTGCTAGGATTGGTATTTTCTGATGCTATTATAAATACTATCATTTGGAATCTTTATTTTCTAATTATTTGTGTTTAGTAAATAGAAAAATACAATTGGTATTTGTATGCTGACTTTGTACTCCATGACCTTGCTAATTGCACATATGAACTCTAATAGTTTGTAGATTCTTTGTGATTTTCTTTATATACAATCACATTACAGTTTTATCTCTCTTTTCAAGCCAAAAGCCTTTTCTTACTTTTTCCCTTTATTGAGTAGAAGTTGTGACAGTCCATAGACCTGAATTTAGGTCAGAATCTCAGGAAGCTGATATCAGAACTTCCTGGCCTAGGGACCCTCACCAAGATACTGGTGTTTGGTGTGAAGTTGAAGGAGTAAACAGGCCCCATTCAGGGAGAACAATGGTTGTTAGGGGGAGTGTCACCTGAAAGCAGTGACCAACTTTGTCTTTCCTCAAAGCATGCATATTC